TTAGGTTATAGAGCTTTAGGTTAAGTCTATTGCTGTTTGGTTTTTGGGGGCCAGAGTTTCGGTTGACAGTGATCTTCAAGAAGCTGGTCCCTGGCCACCGCCGGAGCAAAGCAGAATTTGTGATTCCTTGCATCTGCGAGCCCTGATTGAAGTGTTGTGTACCAGTCTTGACGAGGATTCTGACTCTAAACCTTAAACCCCTACAGCCTAAACCCACGGTTTAGGGTTGATTTGGGTATTTCCGGCAGATCGACTCGGCACCTACACCCTAAACCCATAACAGCCATTATCACCCCATCGTCGAGAGCCTTCCCCATGAGCATGGGCCTACTCCTGAAAAATAGGGTAAACCCTAAACTAGCCGTGTGCGCCGCCGGGGCTTGGCCCGTTTGCGAGAATGACATGAGCTAAAGCGCGATATGCAGGATAGTCGGGTTTAGGGTTTAGGCCCTCATTATCAGCAAGGGGGATAGCGGATTCTAAAAGGGATCCTTGCATGGCTTGCTGAACGAGTCCCTTTCAAGCTTCTTCATGGCTTCTCATTCAGAATCCCCATGATCTGCAACCTTGAAACCTGTACCCAAAGGCTCCATGTACCTTTATAGTAGATACTTAAGCCCCAAAGTAGTCCCTATATAGGTACTTTAAAGGCCTAAGTATATACTACATGGGTACATGGAGCCTTAGGGGTATGGCAAGGCGAGTTCAAAGGCTCCCAAACCGTATAGACGGACTCGGCGCTGGAAGCGGGGGGCCCTCGAGGTCGACGATACGGTTAATGATAGAAATCCTGCATTACCTTAAGGACCCTAAACTATGGGAATTATGGTATCTTCCTATTATGGGTAATGCAGGATTTTTATCATCAGCCGTATCACCCCGGTTGGGCATGGGACGAGGATGCTCTCTAGCCTGGCTTGACGAGTCCGTGAGCTCCACCAGGCTCCTACGGTTGATGAATGCAAATCCTGCATTACTCATAATAAGGAGTCTACCATAACTCCCATAGTTTAGGGTCCTTAAGGTAATGCAGGATTTTTATCATCAACCGTAGTGACCCACTGCGTGGAGACCTTGACGGAGGCCGTCTATTCCCTTTCGCCGCCATAGCAGTCCACCTTGAAACCGAAAACCCTGAAACGCTAGACAACACCGGGTCAACTGAGTTTCTGGCTTTGCCAGCCGGAAGCTCTGTTTGAAGTCCGACCTCATTCGTGGCACCCAGGCCCACTCTCCCACATTATGGGTTCAGGGGTTGAATCATTAGTCTGGAGTTGGGAGACATACATGATTGTGGGGCACCTGGGGACTGTAGGAAACCTGCTCTTGAAACGGTCGAACGTTTAGGCCTCGAGGGTTGTGCCCTGACCAAGTTGGACACCTCCACATGTCCCTAAACCCTAAACCCTAAACCCTAAACCCAAGTATAGAAACCGCTGAAGTATAGGATTCGCTCTAACTACAGAAGTTACGAACCCCCTATATAAAAATCCCGAAACATGACAGCTGAACCTCCCACATCAGTGACCCAAACCCTGAACAGTGAACCCGAAACCTTAATCACTAAGTCAAGGGGCGCCGTGAGGCAGACCCTAAACCCAAACAGCTTTCCCCTTCTTGGCTTCGAAGCCGTGATTCATAAACACCGTTGCAGGCCTTCCAATATCTACAATTCCCTACTCACGTCTACATCAAAGCCTTACGACATAAGTTGAGGCTTTCTGGCGGTACACCTGCCCTAACTGGCAACTCCGAACACCCCAGGCCCCGGACCAAAAACCTCCTAGACCCTCAACCCCTACCTATAGTCCCCATTGTAGTTCTTTTTTTTGGTTAACCAAAAACTCTATTATAGGATCCTAACCATATAATTGGCTAACCCAAAAAAAGGAACTACAATGGAGACTATAGGTAATCCCTAATCTTCAGAACCCTGAACTTTGAGATTTCTCTGAAAGCACCAATCTGGAACTCAGCCTGGGGAGTTTTGGGAAACCAGCCCGCTCAAGACCCGATACGAACCGCAACTACCAGAACTTGAATACCTTGGAAGGGCGTTTGTTTACCACCACCCCCTCCGAAACAGGAACACGTGAACACCTAAAGCCCTGAGCCCCGAAACTAACAGACCCGTAATCCGCACAAAAACTAAACCCTAGCCCCATCACTATAAAATCACCTTGAAATCTACGTCCTGGAAAACCTAAAATCCCCTGTTAGCCCTGAAAACCCTTAGCAAACAGAAACTTCCACAACGAAGTTGAGGGCTGGCCTGGTACTTCCCTTTCCAAAGAGAACCCACCCTCCCGGAAAAAAAACAAACTTGCAAGCCCGTTTCTAGATTAGCCATACTGTCCTACTATCCTTGAACCCTTATTCTTTATCATGGGCTCTTTATGTAAATCACTATTTTGAAAACCCACCTAAAGAACGCCTACAACCTCAGGAGCCTACCAGCAAAACTCCTGTCAGTTCCAAGTTCCAATTTCAGATTTGAGTCGGACAGGAGTTTTGGCCAATAGAGGCTTACCCTAAGGGTCCAAGTACCCAAATAGTAGGGTTGCAAGAGCAAAAAGCATTCAGAGTATGGATCTTGGGACCTAAAACCCTACTATCTGGGTACTTGCACCCTCTGGGTTATGGGTTTCAAGGGATCGGTGGAGCTGATCTCATCTAGACTGAGGCGCCCAATCTGAATAGATGCGAAGACATGTAAGGTCGACTGCCACTGTCCACTTTTCTAGTTTGGAGTTTAGAGCTCGCTCAAGTCTTGGGGTGGAAGGATGGGGTTCGATTTAACATTTACCAGGTTTAGGGCATATGCTTCCCGGCCCTTCTCACCAGAGCTCAGTAAGATTAGGAATCTATCTTGCCGGTCGTTAACTTCCTGGAGTCTTAAGGCCCGCTGGGTCTTCCGACTTCCAAGACCGGCAGAAACTGTAGGGGCCGTAATAATTAGACCCATAGGCCCCAAAGTAGTTCCTTTTTGGGATTACCTTATAGGATTCTATATATATGAACCCCAAAAGGAACTACTTAGGGGCCTTAGGGCGAAGCCATGTATGGCTTCCACGCCGCGAAGATGTTCATCTGCTCCTTCTGCTTCTGATGTTCCGGACTCACCGATGGCCAAGGGCTCTTGGGTTTAGGGTTTAGGGTCTTGTGAACCTCAGAAGAATCGCAGCCTCGAGATCATATCGCAAACGCATGCGAATGCAGCTCTTGCCTTGCAGGGCCACGTCATCCTTGCGCGAGCAGACCAAGATTTGCTCGATCTGGAGCTAGAGTCGAGAAGAATCGTGTAGAGCTCTTTAACTTTAACCTTTGGCCATCAACCCTGAACACCAAAGCGACTATTCAAAACACCAGTAGGCCGAGGTGCAATGTAGGGCAACTCCTCTCCCAAGTCCGTGCTGAGCTCGATAACCTCCGGCGGCTTCAGGACTCTCAGGATGATTCTGTTGGCAATTTTGTAGGCGTACCTACTATGTATATAGTCAAAAGTTTAGGGTTGGCGCAATCGGATTCACTGTCAGAACTGACGGTTGAGTCTGTCGTGTCTTACTCAAGCGAAGGCAGAGGCTGATTTAATGACTATAACATGGTTTATACTGCTCATATAGGGCTTGGGGTGTAGACGCTCTGAGATTTAGCGATTGATTCTGCGACTTCTGACCTGAGGCTTGGGATTTTCTAAACCCTAAACCCTAACGGCACAGGCTGAGCGCATGACGTTTAAGCATTCTGCTGTTGATCGGCCCCCGCAATAAGGGTTTAGAGCGAGCGTATTCTCCCCGCAACAAACAGGATCTTAAACCACAAGCCCTGGGCTGCTCTAATTAATATATATATATATATATATATATATATATAGAATATCAACAAGGAATCAAGCTGATAGTCATCCTAAAAGCAGGTCCACGAGTAGCTTTGCCACTGCCGCCCAGGCCGGCAATCAAAATGTGAACTCGTTTGACTCGAGTGCTTGCTTGAGCCAAGGCGAAGGTTAGTGAGGTCATGCCAATAGTCGGGCCAGGGAGGGAGTCATTCCTCTGTTGCGAACCATGCCGCTCCCAGTGTTGCGACGGAGCGGGCTGAGGCCGCGAGACCCCGTAACCTACGAGAGAAGCCTGCCCAACTGCTTCACCCTTAAACCCGGGAAGTCCAAACCCAGGAAACCCCGAAACCCAAAACCCCGCAGCCGTGGCGACCAGAAGACACTGAACCTTAACTTCATCCCAGAACGCCTTTGCACTCGTAACCACTTCACTCCAGGGAGCCTCGACACCTCCGGATCCCCGTAAGCCCTGAAGAATGAGGCTACCTTTGTCCGCTTGTTCAACCTAAGACACCGCGCTCTTGGAAAACACACAACATTACATAAGGGTAGTCAGGTTAGGATTAGGGTTTAAGTTTAGGGTTAAGCATTGAGCGACCTCACAGATGCGTAAGGCTCGGGCCACAAATGCCGGCGGTCAACGATCAGCTATGGCTACTGGGCTTGGAATCGGGAGTATTGGATTTTGGGGTTTAGGGTTCAGAACTCATCTTATACAGCCAAACAACGAAGAAGTCTCAGGCTAGTCTATGTAATTAAGCTAAAAATACAAGTTTGAAGCTCTGCCACAAGCACAACAAACAAAAACCAGCCTTCATGTAGAACATGTTGTTGAACAAGCTGCCGTCCTTCAGCATGGAAGATGGAGGGTTCGCTGGGAATTGGAATAGTCGGGGTTCTACGGCGGTAGCGTGTTGCGTACTCGAGAAAGGGATGGAGGGAGTGCGGGAGGGGAGGGAGGGGGAGAGGGAGAGAAAGAGAGTGAAAGAACGACAGGGGAGCTTAAGCATGACTGAAGAAACCCTGCACCACCCTTGGTTTTCAAACCACTCCGTGCCAGAATGCTGAACCCTGTGACTTTCGAAAGTTTGAGAACTACGCTATGACACCCCTTTGCAGAAACCTTAGCTCAAGAGCATCTTTCTTGCTAAAGCCTCATAAATCAAACCAGTAACCGAAAGCCCCAGGGACGAGAGTAGGCATGCTGGAGTCCGGTGTGTTGCCTGTCCAGGGACTGTGATTGCGTATAGTTCCGATGTCCTGAATCCCAGCCGCCAAACCCATACGATCCAACCATCGAAAAACACCCCGCCAACGCTCTAAACCGTATGTGAAGCAACTGCGACATCCTAAACCTAACACAAACACAAATCAAAGAGAAAAAGCAGAACAGGCTGTCCTTGCGTGCATTGCGCTGGAAGCAGAACAGCTCGTCCGTGGGGCGCCCCCGTGGCATCCAATCCTCTCGCTCTCGGTCCGGTATCCTGTGCATTTTTCGCGGGTGTAGGCGGGAGGGATTTTGGAGTTGCTTAGTTGTTCAAGGTCAGGATCAAGGTTCACGTTGAGGGGTTCGTATCTTGCTCCTTTTTCGGATTCTCGTGCAACTTTATGACAAGTTTCCGACGGCATTAATTGGAAGTTTTGTTTACGATCTCTAAGTAGATTGAGTAATTTCCCAGGGTTGCACGACGCATTCGTGAGGCAATGAAATCAACATTTGTTGCTATGTCCATCGGGGCTTTCATGTGATGAGTCAAAGGCTCGGGAACCTCCTTCCCTTGTCTCCTGAGATAGAACACAGCAAGGTTGGAATGCCATTATGTACTCTCCTCTACCCTCACACCCTGGGCCCTATGCCCCTAACCTTCAATCACTCGATATTAGTAGCTGTCTTGCTCTGTCAGGAAAAAGGACACTACCTAGAGGCTCCATAGTAGTTCCTCTTCGTGGTTGAGATTGAGAAACCTATAACTGGGTTGGCCCTTTAAAGCCTCTGAGTCCTATTAAGCCCAATAAGTGAACATGTAAAATGTCCCAAAGGCCTACCTAGAAAAGGTCATCCCAAAAAGTAACTACCATGGAGCCCATGGGTAAGGGCTGTGCACCCTCGGCGCCTGAATTGCTTTCCGTCCCGGATGGCTTCGCAGAAGTCCTCTCACGGTCTGGGATGAGCCCAGATGCCAACATCCTTATGATATATACACACACACATACGTACGTAAGTACATGCATACTCTGTGGGTAACCATAGCGGCCTGCATCCCACATGCAATAAAAACCTCAATGTCTCTCTCTATCTCTCTCTCTCACATATACATTACATTTATATGTATATGTATTGCTATAGGTGGACGTATAGGCTAAGGAACAGGCTGTGCACAAGGCATAGGTATATAAAGGTATAAATGGGTATGTGGGTATACATAAAGTTATATATGTATATAGGTACATAGGTATAGGTAGGTATAAGTGAAGGTCTGGGTATATGTATCGCTGCAATAGCTATAGCTGTAGGTATGTAGGTGTAGGTATATAGGTGTAGGTGTGTATGTACGTACGTAAGTATGTATCTATGTATGTGTATGTGTGTATGTATGTATGCATGCATGCATGTGTACGCATGGGGATTGAGCACATGCTCCCACGCAATTTGTTGTGCTATTCTCCATCTAGGGCTGGATCACTTGTACTTGACGCTTTGCGTTTATAGGGCTTCGGGGGTGGGGTTTCGGCGGACCCCTCCACGATACGGTTGAGGGTCATATGGCTTAGGTTGAGCTCGAGCTTAAGAGTTTCGGAGAAAAAACAGCTCGAATTGTGATTGCGGTCTGGAGTCTTCGGGTCTGTCACGGTCTCAGGAAATCTTGTGTAGGCCTTATAATAGCTAGAATAGGGTTTGGGAAAAATTACACTTTAACTACAATAAGGAATCCCCACAACCCTATTCTACTTGTTCAGGCTCCTGCATGCTAGTTGAGAAGTATCGCCGCTTCGAGGGTGAGAGAGCCAGGAGGGATCCGATCTGGTCTGCGCGACCTATTTTCGGAAACTCCCATGTACGCTACTATTAAGGAATTGGGTCCCCAAAACCATGATGGGGATGGTCTGTTGGGACCTCATTCCAGAATGGTAGTAATATATATATATATATATATATATATATATATATATATACACACACACACATATATATATATACATCTATATACATATATATATATATATATACACATACATGCATACATACATACATACTTACTTACTTACTTACATACATATACACATACACCTACATATACATATACATATACATATACATATACATATACATATGCATATACATATACATATACATATACATGTACAAATACATATACATATACATATACATATACACATATATATATATATATATATATGTGTATATATATGTGTGTGTACACATACATACCTTCTGGGTTATGGTTGAAACTAGGTTAGTCAGTACCTCAGTTTACTCTGCAGGCTTGCAAGTAGCTGTAAGTGTAGTTCCCCCACTTATAGCCATACTGCTTACAGACTGCCTTGATCCCATCAGTACCAGATTGCTGCGGCCTCACCAACCTCGAGGAATGAACGCCGCACACATCTGAAAAGTGCCGCACATAAAAAAAAGACAAGAAGTGTGAACATCTGGGAAAATACGGGACAGCTTTCACCGTGCAGGTTCGAATTTAAGGTTTTTATGGGTTTATCCAAATTTCACGTCCTTGGCGTGTCTGCGCATCTTCCAATCGATCTGGTCTCTTGGTACTGGATCCACGAGAAAGCGGCAGTTCCTGTCGCGGATCGGCCCGAGAGCATCCAACTCCCAAACCCCCAAGACCCGGAATTCAATCCGAAGGCCTTGATAAAGGGGCTGTAATATAGAATCAGAACAGAGTTTGGGGGTGTAATTATATTATATAAGGAGCCCCCAACATACGATAGGTAGCTATTTAGGCCCCTAGTAAATCTGAACCGGGACTTCGGTTCTCGGTCCTCGGTGTTTCAAGGTAGCTACAGATGCTCCTCCCGCCAACAGCCAAACTGCGAGCCCCCAACATTCAAGTGTAGGTACGGGTCTAGGTCCAGGGTTTAGGGTTATAGTCTTATGTTATAGTGTATCCATACGGTCCGACAGCAAGCATAGTGACTGTACACACCCTAAACCCTTGAACCCCTAAACCCAAACAAAATCCAACCCCTTTGCACCCCCCAAGCCCGTATAAGTAACCCTCAACCCCTAAACCCTAAACCCCCTAAAACCCCGTAAACCCCAAAACCCCTAAGCAGTGTAACGGTGTCAGAAGCAGGGCGCGGGGATTCAGGCGATTGCTTTGCTCTGCCTTCCCACAATCTCATCCATGGTGTAGCCACACCTCGGTTTTCCGCGTGTCAGGGTTTAGGGGTTTAGGGTTTAGGGGTTTAGACATCCAGGATTTAGGGGTTTAGGGGGTTTAGAGGTCCAGGGTTCAGGGGTTTAGGGGTTTAGGGTTTAGGGTTTAGGGGCGGGGTTTAGACGTCCAGGGTTTAGGGGTTTAGGGTTTAGGGGTTGAGGTTTAGGGCTTGTAGACATTGCGGGTTCAGGGCGGAGGGACGGTAAAGGGTTTCGGGATAAACGGTTAAGGCCTAGGGCTTTCACAGGATTTAGGGTTGCAGGATTTTAGGGGTTGGCTTATGGCTTTCAAGGCGTACGGTAGTCTGGTTGATTAGGACAAACCGAACCCCCAAAAGAAAAGAAAAAAGCCTATCGCAAGCCCCTTAGTCGTAGAATATCTTTCTCGGAGGTTTCGACTTGTTTGTGTACTCATTACCCTAGGGTCCAAGATCACACACTCTCCCAAGTACTGACCTACAAAGCTACTATCCCATGCCCAAGTAACTACCTAGTTATCAGGTGGTTCGAACCCTCAATAAGGACCCCTATGCCAGGGTTTATCAGAAGAACCTAGAAAGAATAAGTTATGGTCGCTAAAGGTGGGGAATTTGCCCGGTATGGGCACTTTCTGTCGAACTCTCGTTGGGGCTTGGACACTTGAGATTTTATAAGAGCCGGGCGAAACTGTAGCGTTGGGGGGTTGAAGCAAACAAACGGAAAGCCCCAGAAAGCTGAGCAGATAAACCCCAAGCCCACAAAGTTGGGTTTAGGGTTTAGGGGTTTAGGGGTTATAGGGGTTTAGACTTTATAGGGGTTTAGGATGATAAGCCTGCCGTTTAATCTGCGTGACGGCCATCACTTCTCATCTTCCGGCTTCTGCTATCCTAAATAGAGATCCTGTTAATATCCCACAACACCCTTTAGAACCGTAAACCTACAAAACACGAGCCCTGAAACTTAGACCTTGAAGCCTAAAGCACGGCATACCTCGAAGATCTAAGAGGCGGTTCCCTTTCACATCTGCTCAGGCGGCTGAATACGGTTTGGGGCTTATCGATATTATACCCTTAACCCTGAACCGTAAGCCCTAAACCCTAAACCCTAGACCCTGAAACCCTAAACCCTGAACCTTAAACCCTTCACTCCTTAACCCCCGCAAGCCCTACAGCAGACACCCATCCTAACCGCGCGGGTCCAATTGTCAGGTAGACTGGACCTTGTTAGCCCCACGAAACTCGAAGAATCCATGATCTAAAGCCGTAGAGAGACTTCACAAACACTTGAACACCGATAGCTGCTCAACCTCATACCTGTCCAAAACCACAAAGCCTAAGCCAAGCCTAGACTATAAACTTGAAGCCCTTGATACTAATTCTAAACTCTGAACCCTAGCCCCTAGAACCCCATGTAAAGCCTTTACCTGGCAAGCCGAGGGGCAGTGTTCCGAAGCCCGAAGAGCATCCGATCAGCGGACAGCCGCTGATTCGCGGGTCCTTGGGGTTAGGGTTACGGGGTATGCGTTCTCTGAGGGTCCTACAAGTTGTTTTTGGGTTGTCTTAGGATTCGACCGGATTTTCTAGGCTTGCCTTTGGGCGCTCTTGATCTACTTTGCTAATTAAACCCTTTTTCCCAATACGGTTCTCTTACTTAGGGTTTAGGGCTTTGGGTGGAGGTTTTGGTGCCCCATGAGCCCCGAACCCCTACACTCTTAAACGGGACTAAACCATAAGTTCCAGCACTTGGCGATTTGAAGCTCCGGATGTAAAGTTGCAGAGGCTGTGGCTTCGGGAAGGGTGTAGGGTTTGGGGTCTTCAGGTTCTACAACTTCGGGGCCTTTCGTGGGCTGCAACTTTCGCAGGTTAGCGCTTTGGCGTTTGAGGGGCTTGCTATACTTCGGCATCCTAAGCCCCAAACCCTGAACTCTATCGTAAGCATCCGGATGCGTTTGGGACCCTGGCAGCACTTTAACCTTTGCAGCAACCATTTTGGTGTCCCTTGTTGATCCCTTAGGACAAACAGATGCAGAACCTCTTCTAGCCCACCTTAAAGTAAAAGCCAGAAAGTTGGAATATGATTATCCTAAGCCCTTTTTGGTAAATTATCAGGTATCCTACCCTGAAGCCATATTCCAACTTTCTGGGGTTCCCAGTAGGACCCAAATTGGATAAACCCTAACCTCTGCAGCTTCAACTCCAAAGGCCTGAACCATGACAAAGCTGAAGGCTTCAAGACCCAGACCTTCCAAAACCCCTTGATTAAGGACTATACCTTAAATTTTAGTAGGATCCTTAATATGATTTAAGGTATATTCCTTAATTAAGGGATTTTGGAAGGTCTGGGCCCTGTGAAGCTGAATTGTATCGTATCGGCACATTGGAACAACAACTGCTTAGCACAGCAAGCAAAGATCCTGCAACGAAGCTCTGGGACGCTACTTCCCTAAATCTGAGCCCGAAAATCCGGACCCCGAACCACCAAACTGTGAAAGCCTAACGAAAACCAGCCATTGTAGACGCAAAGTGGTAGGCTCTGCAAAGCTTAGCGGTAAACCCTAAACACTCGATACAAACCCCGACAAGCATGTGCTCCGGGGTATTGATTGCCCCATGCTGAAACCTATACTGCACATTCACACATTCACCAAGATCCAGAAGAAGCCCGATGTACTTTGACCAGCAACCCCAACACAAACCCCACTTCATGCTACACACAAACAGTCAGCCAAGCTTCCGCAATTGTGAAGGAGAATGTCATCCCGAGAAGTGATTCACCGGACTCGGACAGGGGCAAATTAGCATTAAGGGTACCTTTGCGGGGTTTCAGGGGTCTTTGGAGCTAAGGTTCGAGGCACAGACAGGTAGGCTTTTGGAGCTTAGGTTTGAGGGTTTAGGATTTGAGAAGGCGGTTTCTGTTGTGCTTACTGTAAGGGAAACTTACAACCTGATCTTGAATGAACCTCTAAAGCTGCGTGTATAACCACGCAAAGTGCGTTCAGCGTATGTTAACTACGTCCCTGATCCCTTTCCCAATTTGCAGTTTGCGTGGCGCGCCAGTGCTTACCCTAAGGCCCCAAAGTAGTTCCTATAAGGGGTCATATAGAATCCTATAAGGTATTCCCCAAAAGGAACTACTTTGGGGCCTATGTACGGTCCTTGATTCCAGGACGAGGTATCGGATTTAAGCTCTGAGGTTTTTTGGGGGCTGGTGTTTTACTCTAGACTAGACCCTAAACCCCAAAGGCATCAACCCTAAACCCCTTAAATGCCTAAACCCCAAGTAAAATCCTAAATCCTTTCTAAGCTTGAGTTGAGCCATAGGCCCCATGGTAGTTCCTTTTTGGGATTCATGTTTAGAATTCTATAAGGAATCCCCAAAAAGGAACTACTAGGGTTGAGGGCTTCACGATTTGAAGCAGGCGGAGGAGGCCGTGCCCATTCCAGCCCCGGTTCTGCACCCATTCGCTTCACGGTTTAGGGTTCGGGGTTTTACGGTTTAGGTTTGGATTTTGTTTTTTAAGGTTTGGGGTTTAGGTTTAGGGTTTTAGAGTTTAGGTTTGCCACGGGTTTCAGGGGATCGTCAGCAGCAGCAGAACCGCATTTCTGCACGCATGTTACCGACACTTGTTCAAGCCCAGCGCAATCGCCACCCTTTCACCCTGAACCCCTAAACCCCTAAACCCTAAACCCTAAACCCCCAAACCCCTTAACCCTAAACCCCTAAACCCTAAACCCTAAGCCCCTTAACCCTAAACCCTAAACCCCTAAACCCTAAACCCTAAGCCCCTTAACCCTAAACCCCTAAACAGTAAATCCTTGACAGTAGCTGTGGCCCTGAGGCAGCTGAGGCCCCCAGGCAGCTGGCTGCGATGCGATACGCCGCCCCACAACTGGAAGTTTCCGAAAATTAGGGGTACCTTATTTTGGGGTACCTTATTTTTGGGGTACCTTATTTTGGGGGTACCTTATTTTGGGGGTACTTTATTTTGGGGTCCTTATAATAAGGATCCTACAATTTAGGGTACTGTATTAGGGTCCCCTATTTTCAGAAACTCCCAACTCGATGGACTCGATGTCCGACCTGAGGCGAGCGTCCAGCCGCCGTCGCATGAGAGAAACGCCTGCCGGTCTCGCGGAAGGCACTGTGCAACGAGCCGCTGCAGGCCATCTGGGAGTTTCAATTCTTGCCGGTTTAACCAAAATATTCTCCCAGCGTCGTCCTTTGGCTTCTCGCCCCGAGCCTGCGGTTGACAGCTAAACAAAGCAAGCGCTGCAACTTCCAACTTATAAGAGACTGAGCAGAGTGGAGCTTTACTCTTGATTTTGATAAACATCGCAGTAGATGATGATATGCCCCAAACCCTGAACCCAGCACACCTAAACCCCATTGAACAACTCCCTTATAAGCTGCTGAGCTCTTAAACCCCACGGCTCCTGAGCCCTTGACCCAGCTTCCCCATTCCCCGCACTGTCCTACATGGAGACCCCAATCCAGAAAGCGTGCTGTGCATTGCTCCGCGACCTAGAAAGGCTCTAAATCTCCCGACCCAAAACCCTCTAAACCCTGAACCCTATTCCAAAGACCTCCAAACCCGAAAGCCGGTAAACCTCTACACCCGAAGCCCTTGGGGCTCTTCCATTCAAAGTTGTCAACCAAATCTAAGTTGTAGGCCGGGTTGAAGACTTTGTCGACAGCAGCCTGCCGGCAACGGGCGGAGGTTTCTACAGCTCAAAAGATCCAGGTAACACTATACAGCACAAACTTCTGGGGCCCTGGACATCTACCCCCCCAAACCCTATTCTAAATATTAGGGCCCCGATTTTGCTACACCTCCGACTTCCGGAACTGCTGAGGATTGTCATGCCCAGCAGACGGCAACCGACTATACTATACTGAACTTAGAAACCTAGCAACAATTATAATTTTAGCTGTTTCTTAGAAATTAAAATAACCAGAAATTAAAAACTATTTCTAAGTACCCCTAAGTATACTGGTAATGGGGCCAAAGATCATTGGATCTCGATGGGGCTTTGTGTTCTAGGAGTTCAGGGGCGCCCTAGGGAGGACTTCCCCAAGTTGATGACCCTATTCTGACTGGAAAGATGAAGACGAAGGTGTCAACAAACACAAACAAGAAGGAGGGGAGGCCAAGATTTAGGAGTTTAGGCTTGAAGGTTTGGGGTTAGGGTGTGTTGTTAGGGGTTGAGGTTTGTAAGCTCCGACATCTCCGACGGAATAGTAACTCCACACAGAACTTAGCTTGGTATCCTTGCTGTAGTGATTGGAGTCTGTGCCTCGGAGAACAGCCCGTCTTTGAGGTTAAGAGTCATCGACCCGTCGTGTCGGGTGAAGAGCCTGTTTATGGCATTCGTCCCGCAGGACCTCCTGGAGTTCGCGTGTTTGCTCGTGTCCTCAATGGGATGAGCCGCAAGTCCGGCAACTGACCGGCATCTCAGTGATGCCTAAGATATATGGGTGGTTGTCAAAATTATGATCCCTTTTTGGGCGCTTGTTATAATAAGGACCATAATTTTGACAACTACCCATATGCAGCCCGGGCGTCCAAGTAGGCACTCTTGGGCGACCCGGTGGTGAGCTCTTGCGCCACAAAAACGTTTTCCAGATTCGTAACTGGCTAGAATGTCTCAAGTGTCGTTGGGACCACAGGCACAACCCTCTAAGGAGAGGTCTGGGTCGCGGAGACTTACATTCGGAGCTTCCAAAGTGATCCTGACCGTCTACGTAAGCCCTAAACCCTAAACCCTAACCCCCTAAGCCCCTAAACCCTACGTAAGCCCTAAACCCTAAACCCTAAGCCCTACCTAAACCCTAAACCCTAAGCCCTACCTAAACCCTAAGCCCTAAGCCCCTAAACCCTAAGCCCCAGAGAAGACTGAATAAGAAATACCGAACTCTAAGCTTTGAGCCCAAGCCTCAAGGCTTCACGTCGACCCAAATCCAAGGCCTTGTAACCTCCTAAACTCCTAGCAGCCGAAGCATTTCTTTCTTGAAAAAATCTGTGAGGTCCAATCGGTCTGCAGATTGACTACACGCTTCTAGACTCCCAAAGTGCCAAGGGAGTCCCAACCCTATAAATCCTATATACCCTGAGCCCTGAACCGTAAACGCAAGCCGCCAGCCGCAGTCCTGAAGTTCGTCGGCTTTTCTTTGTGTCCAAAACTTTCCCGGCCGCTGCTGCGCGTTGTTGCCATGAGGGATAACCTGGCTGAAACAAGGTTTCGGGGTGCATCTTACTGGGACTCTACGGAGATATGACTACAAGTCATTCACTCATTGGGTTAACCTGGCTCAGACGTCCACATAAGTATTCCTCCGAAGGCTCTATATTGGGTTTAAGTGGACTTCGCAAAGGTTCCATGAGGTTTTCTTATCCTTCATTGAGGCTGGGGCCTACAGCTGTAGGAACTGCAGCACAGGACACCGCACGTTCATTGCGCAGCCTGGTTCAGTGCAGGGCTATGAGGGGCTTGGCCCCGAGCCAGCTTGGAAACCTCCTTTGGAGAGCCCCATCGGGAACAACAGCTCCATTAAACAAAGTTTGAACCGTGGGCCCCTAGCATGGTCGCTTGCCCTTGTTTAGAGGGGTTCGAGGTAAGGGCCCTTGCTATATATATATATATATATATATATATATGTATATGTATATGTATATGTACATACATATCTATGTATATATATATATATATATACATACATACATCCATACATATCCACTACGGGTTAAAAACAAGGGTCCCAAATTCAGGGCCCAAGCTTAGACCATAGAGCCATGGGTGACACCGTACAGCAGCGGCCAGCATCTTATCTATGGTAAACATAGTAGCAATCGTGGAATGTATCGTGGCAACCCTAAACCCCACACCCTAGACCCTAAACCCCAAAGCCCTAAACTCTAAAACCCTAAAAACCTTTTATTAGGGGTAATATATTAGGGTCCCCTATTTTCGGAAACTCCCATCTCCGAAACCCTGAATCCCAAGCCCTGTGCTAGCAGCCGAAGTCTTTGGGCAGGATATACAAAACCCTACATCACTATGGAATAGAAAGTGTGAAGTGAGGCTTCTAGGGGGTACCCTGTACGGATGTACTGAAAAATCGTGACACCTACTGATAAGTGTTGAGTATGATGCTGCTGCATGAAGGAAGGACTGACAAGAATCAAGGCCTGTTGGTAAAGAGTTCGGTCCAGAATATAAGCTTCCATATACTTTCGTATATTGTAATCTGGCCGTGCTTTCAAGGTTTTGACATAATGTAGGTGCCTCGATAATCACCTATGTTGTTTCGGTGGTTCCTTATTATACCTATAGCATAATGGGCCCGCAAAACTCTATTCTAATTTTTAAGGCCCCTATTGTCAGCCATTACATCACTTTGGTGGTTCCTTATATGTTCCTTATTATAACAATAGCATAATGGGCCCTCTATTCTCATGTTTTAAGGCCTCTATTGTCAGTCATTAGATCACTTTGGTGGTTCCTTATTCATTAGATCACCATTTGACCCGACAGTCGGCACCCTGACCTTCAACCTCACGAATCTTGAATCCTAAACAATACACCCTTCAAGGAACGCCCATAAATCCCTGAAGGGAACCCTTGTAGATCCCTTAAATATTACAAGAACCCTTGTAGATCCCTGATCCCGATGATGGTAACTAGCCAAGAGTCCTCAACCTTACCAGGTAGCCCCTTCAAACCCTGGCGCCCTGAACCCTAAACCTGTAATCTCACTGCTTAAGCCAAGAACCCTTAGCCACTGTAGAATCCACCCCTTGAGCTCGACTTGCTTGGAGATCCCTGTAAAAGGAGAAGAGCCACCCTACACACTAAACCCTTAAACCCTAAACCTTAAACCCCTAAACCCTAAACCTTAAACCCCTAAACCCTAAACCTTAAATCTGTACGCCAAGGGGAGCCTCCACCTCGTCGCCCTGAGTGGATTCTTTTAAATGGGGTCGGTCGGTTTGGGGTTAGGGGTTTAAGGTTTAGGGTTTAGGGGCGGTTTAGGTTTTTGGAATCAGGGCTTAAAGGGTCTAGGGTATAGGGTTTAGGGGTTTAGGCTTGCAGCACCCGGTTTTGGGGGGCTTGGGGGATTTAAGGGTTAGTGTTTGGGGATTAGGGCTGACGGGTTTGGGGTTTAAGGTGTAGGGCTCACGTTTTTGGGGCCTAGGGTGTCTTGGAGTTTGCTACTACTACTACTACTACTACTACTACTACTACTACTACTACTACTACTACTACTACTACTACCCCTACTCCTACTCCTACGCCTACTCCTACTCCTACTCTTGCTACTGCTACTACTTCTACCACTCAGGACCACAACCACTACCACCCCCACCCCCACACCAGGGTGAAACGCACATATAAGAAGGAACAACACAACTTCATGCAGGATGGTGCCTTCAGCGTTAACAGCATCCTTGATACATTACCGTGTAAGCTTGTCATGAGTACTGTGAACCTTTAGGTTGCTCTTGGGCTTTGTCCTGTGGGTCTGGAGATTCCAGCATACTGGGTTTCAGGTTGGTTGTCCATGGGGGATTTGGGGTTGGGGGTTAGTTGGTTTTGGATTTAGGAGTTCAAGTTTATGCTTGGTGTGGGGTTGGGTGAACACTTATTCAAAACATGCCCTTATGGCTTTTATTTGGCTCTGCAATAACTTACTTTAAATGCCGAAACATCACCCAAAACCCTGAGCGACTGCAGTAGAATGGATCTTTCTCTTGGGAGGTTGTCAAGATCGAAGCATTATAAGGATACCCTAAAGAAGCCACTAAAGGCGCAGTCCAACAGCTTTATGATGGAGGGTCCAGGGTTGGGGGCTGTGTGGTCTAGGGTTTGGAGTTTCGGCGACTCCCTGAGGGTTCAAAGGCCCCACGGTTGTAAGCACAATATCATTCAACCCCATAAACCTTAAGCTAACCCTGAACTCCAAATCCCCGAAATGTAAACCTGAAACAGCACTCGGGGACTAAACACATACCTTTGTGGGTACTTGGGCCCGGGTATAGGATATTACGCTACGTCGGCATTTCGGCAGTATATGTTCCCAATAACTGCATTCCCTGGCGAACCTTACTTCTTATGACCATTCATTGCTGCTACTATGTTTGTTCGTGCTGTTGTAATTGTTTTTGTTGTTTATAGAATTGATACTGATATACTGATATAATCGTTAGCTGTTGTTAATATTACAGATATTGTCATAACTGTTGTTCTTCTTATTGTTTTGTTATGTATGGTTATTGTATTAACTAAGCTTAGGTCCCGATTTCTCAAGGCCGCCTGCTTGACGAATCCGCAGCCCATTGCTGCGAGTCGTGAATTCGGCCCGGCCGATGCTGAAATATGCTAAACCACAAGCAAAACCATGACCCTACCCTAAACTTAGCTTTTCGGCGAGTGCGATGTCTTCTAGAAGAAAGCCTCTATGATGCTGAACCCATTGCGTTGGTAGAAACGTTCGTAGTGACAACCTTCGCCCCGGCTGCTTCGTGCTGCCATGGTTGCTGGGCCGAATCTGCTGAGCAGCGTCGCGGGATGAGTCTCAAATACTGGGAGTAAGGATAAGTGATAAGAATAAGAACAAGCACATAAAAGGCTTAACAAAGAAGAGCAATGATAATGGTAATATCAATAGGAACCGAATTCAATAATTAGCAATAAACATCCCGATTGAAGCCCGCATCTTGTCTTTAGACGGCCTCGGATGTAACCACCCAGAGGGTCCAAGTCGCGATACAGTAGTATATGGTAGTAAGTATGTTGACGTTTTGGCCCTGAATGTATTTACTAGATTCGCCTTATGTCTGTGTACCCATCTTGCTACTAATATGTCGTAAAGGAATCTGCCAAAGACACTGTCTATTGCCATTGCCACCGGTACGTGCTACCCCTAGCATTAGCATTAACAGATTGCATACGGCCAGCCCATACTGCTGGTAATTTTAAAGGACCATGACGTACTCAGAGGTGCTGCTTACCAACGACGACCTCTACATTTTCGAGGTCCTACAAGTATGAAGTATACGAATAATCAAAGTAGTGATCCTGCTAATGGCTAGTTCAAACCCATCGGAAAGCGAAGGAGAATAAGGAACAGCAGTCATACTACTACTGCTGCTGCTGCTACTACTACTACTACTACTACTACTACTACTACTTCTACTGCTACTTCTACTGCTACGCCTACTGCTACTACTACTACTACTGCTACTGCTACTGCTACTATTAATACTGCTACTACTACTACTATTATTACTACTACTACTACTACTGCTGCTGCTGCTGCTGCTGCTGCTGCCGCTGCTGCTGCTGCTGCTACTGCTGCTACTACTACTACTACTACTACTACTACTACTACTACTACTACTACTACAACTACGACTAGTACTAATAGTAAAAATAGTAATAGTCATGACAACTATAGCAGGCCGAAGTTCACAGCATTTGGCTCTCTTTAGGCCCATCCAGACCCCGGTCGTGGATTACCTGAAAGCCTTTCTGTGAAACACCTCGAACATTGTCTTCCCTAAATACTGAAGCCTAGTTCAACCCTAAACTCTTAACCCTGAACATCCCTAAACCCCTAAGCGCTAAAAACCTAACCTGTAAACTCAAAACCCTAAACCATAAACGTTGAAGTGAATCTCTATGCCAAAAAACTCAATGGAATGGGGCCACCGTCGGGACGCTTTGGGGGGAGCGAATAGTGCTACTGCCTTTGCCCTGCCGCTGCTAGTGATGCTACTCTTCTTCAAACTCAAAGAACACCATTTCGAAGCTCAGCGACGTACAACCAGACCCTCGAGAGTCGGCAGCTCAACCTGCCAACCATAGCCGGTAAAGCCCCAGGGGACAACCGATCCGTCGCCAAGAATGGCAGCAAAAGAACTGTCTGAGGCTTGGATCTGCTGCACATCCTTCAACTGACTCTGTACAGCACGACTGTCGCCACCAAACTCAGGATCACCCCAGGTCACAACCGATCCATCCCCGAGAACGGCAGCAAAAGCAGTGTTAGTGGCTTGGATGTGCTGGACGTTCTGCAACTGACCCTGTGCCGCACCAGTATCGCCACCAAACTCTCGACCCCAGGCCACCACGGATCCATCCCCAAGAATGGCAGCGAAAGCGCTAGTAGTTGCTTGCAGCTGCTGCGCGTTCTTCAGCTGACCCTGGACAGCACTACAGTCGCCACCAAAGTCAGAAAGACCCCAGGTCACCACGGATCCATCCCCAAGAATGGCAGCAAACGCACAGGAAGAGGCTTGGATCTGCTGCACATTTTTGAGCTGGCTCTGCACAGCACCACTGTCGCCCCCAGTGGCAGCATGACCCCAAGTCACAACCGATCCATCGCCAAGGATTGCAGCAAAGGCACTGTCTGAGGCTTGGATCTGCTGCACACACCGGAGCCGACCCTGCACAGCACTGCTGTCGGCGCCAGCAGAACCCTTACCCCAGGTCACAACCGATCCATCCCCAAGAATGGCAGCAAAAGCGCTGCCAGAGGCTTGGATCTGCTGCACATTCTTCAACTGATCCTGCACAGCACTACTATCACCACCACACTCAGCATCACCCCATGTCACCACGGATCTATCCCCAAGAATGGCAGCAAAGGCAGTGTCACAGGCTTGGATCTGCTGGACATTTTGCAACTGACCTTGTGCCGCACCGGTGTCGCCACCAAATTTAGGATGAGCCCAGGCCACCACAGATCCATCCCCAAGAATGGCCGCAAAAGCCCTGCTGGCGGCTTGGATATGCTGCACGTTCTTCAATCGACCCTGCACGGCACTACTGTCACCACCAGAGTCAGCACGACCCCAGGTCACCACGGATCCATCCCCAAGAATGGCAGCAAAAGCGCAACTAGTAGACTGAATCTGAACTCCGTTAACATGCAAGGTCAGCGAATCACCGTTCCGAATCCTGGAGTGCTTGGTCTCCACATATCCGTCCAGAACAACTCCATAGGAGTCGAGCAGTCGTCCTTTCCCGACTCCCAGTGCGATCTGTGCCCGCTGTGTCAGTGTTTCCACAGTTTCGTCCAGACCGGCTTCCACGGCAGCTGTCTTGCCACTGAGCAGTGGAACTTCCACGGAAATCGACATGCTCCCCCTGTCCAAACACCACAAAACCCTACCCGCCCTGCCCCCCAAGGCCCGTAATCACATATTTGTAACCCCAACACCCTCAACCTTAAAGCCCTCACCCATAGCCTAAAATCTGCCTCCAAAAACTCGCCCCTTAATACAGGGGCCTGAATAAATAGAATTAGGGTTCCTTGAAAGGGGTCTATAAGGGGTCTACAATGGATCCATAGGACGGTTCTATGATATAGGGGCCTTAATCTTGGGGCCCCCGTATAGCTACCCAGACCTTCCAAAATCCCTTAATTAAGCAATATACCCTAAATTATAGTAGGATCCTTAATATGATTTAAGGTCTATTCCTTAATTAAGGGGTTTTGGAAGGTCTGGGTACAATGGGCATGTTCCACGTCGACTTTGCGGCCGCTTTACAGGAATTGTGCAAAACGGGGTGTAGAATGTCCTAGCGCTTTGCAGCAATTAGTATGATGATAACCCTAAACCCTACACCCTAAACCACTCTGCCCTGGCTGCAGCCACAGGATCTGGATAAGGCTGGATTGATCCATTAGGCCGAAAACCTCAGAAGTGTACAATATGCCCCTCATAAATAAACCTTGCAAGCTCCACTGCACAGCCTGTAAGCTCTGCCAGGAACCCTACCCGAGCCCCCCTGCCCCCCCGCCCCCCCACGATTATAAACGATGTAAGGCCGTAAGGCCTTACTTTACGATTTCGGGCAAGAGGGGTCAGGCTCTGAGTGCTTCAAGGCACTTACGGCCCAGAACCCTATCCTCCGAGGCCGAAACACGGAGATATTAAGTACTTGGGACTAGGATGAGTCTATATTAGGATTCTTTATGAATCCTAACACCTTGGGGTTATAAGGCCGGGGTTTCTTAACCAGGTTACTTCGCTAGAAGGCAATGGTATAGGGAATGCCATTACTAATCGTCCTTATCGCACATTTCAACTTTGTGGGGTTCACGATATACAGTGTGTTTCTAAACAGGGTTGGTACTTCTTCAGGCTTCTACATTGCCCGCAGGCCCCCTATAACAGAATGTCCTGATAAACCTCTACAGTGACAGGAAACTCCAAACCCTAAGATTTGACTCTAAGCGCAAAAACCCTAAACCCTTAAGCCCGAAATGCCAAGCTTCAGTAGCTCTCTTTTAGGGAACTACCAGAACACCCAGATCCCCACCCACACCCAAGAACGCCCTAAACCTGAACCCGCGAGTTGTCTTTTCCACGGAAGGCGAGTAAGAGTGGCTTGCCCGACCACGGAAAACAACAGGTCTCTCACGAAGACATCGGAATCCTGGAACGTAACATCAGGTTTCCAGAAACCCTCTTAATTTACTAACTTTAACCGAGGAATCACATTGTGGAGTCTCTGTGTAGGTAAAAGCCCAAACAGTTGCGACAAGGAAATAAGGGAAAGTTAAGGTTCCCCGGAGCCCTGCGGCTGATGGTATAAATCCGGCATTACCTTAAGGACCCTAAACTATGGGAATTATGGTATATTCACCTTATTATGGGTAATGCAGGATTTATATCATCAACCGTAGTATATCCTGGTGGCGTTCATGAAGGGGCTCAGACAGGGGCTGGAACTGCGACATGCTCTTGCTATCAGCTTGACATAAGGGGCTTCTGCAGAGGCTTTCCCAAAGTGTCCAAGTGATAGTACAGTCTACACTTTGGGGGCCCAAATACCTACTAAGTACCTACCGTAGTAGTACTTGGACCCTTTGGGTTTGGGGCTTCTGTTCAGGGCGCAGGAATCGAACTTGAAGGTTGTAAACCGTTGTGGTGGGGACTTGCGAAATGGTTTTCCGACGCTTTCCGGAAATCCCGTGAGACTCCGAGTCTGCGATGTCGACACGATCACCCAAGCTCCTATCCTCCCTAAACCCTAAACCCTAAACCCCTAAACTAAACCCTAAAGCCCTAAACCGCTAAACCCTAAACCCCTAAACCCAAAACCCCTAAACGCTAAACCCTAAACTAACCCCAAAAACCGAAACCACCAAAATCGAAGCCCGACCGTCCTCATCTTCGAGAGCCATGTATTTGAGCCCATCCTCCACCCCAACGCGCTCTCCTGGGGCTTAAAGTAAAAGCCAGAAAGTTGGAATATGATTATCCTAAACCCTTTATGGTAAATTATGAGGTATTCTACCCTGAAACCATATTCCAACTTTT